GTTACCTGGTAGTAGTAGTTTGCTTTTAATTTTATTGTTTTAAGTTTCCTTATAATTCAGCTTTGACACATCGAGTGAACCATTATGATGTCCTTCTTTCACTGCTATAAGAATAATCTATTTTCTATAATTTGACTTACATTTCATAACTGTTCTTCCTGGCCTTGGGAGTAACTTTATGTGGGAATGTTCTGATGTCTGAGCAGTATGTAGCTTACCTATGTTATTTGTTACATAACTTTTCATTATATAAGCCATCCCTTGTACAAAATACTGGTGAAGTATGGAATGTTAAAGAGGTTGGAAAAGTGCTATTGATCTGTAAGTTTTTATTTGTTTTAGGTCATTTTTAGTATTCTGACAGTGGTCCATAGCAAAATTTAGCAGCCGTCAAATTATGTTGTATGTTGTATTTGTTTTACTACATGTGTACTCTTTCACAGATAATGATGTTCCTTCATCATTAATCTTCTTTCAGTGACTACATACATACATACATACATAGCTTCACAGATCCATTGCCCGTATTGGGTCGGATATTGAACTCGTCAGATTAATTAAAAGTAGTTGCGATATGCAACCAAGTCCAAATAGACACAACCTAGATACAATAGGAATATAATACAATTAGGTATTTGCCATATATTCATCAACAGACTAGAAAGCTTTCAGGATAAGAAAGTCTTTCAGTTTTTGTTTAAATAAATTAACATTATCCTTTAAAATATATAATTTATGTGGCAAATTATTAAAAATTTTTATGGATGTATAATACACTCTCTTTTGTATAATGGATAGTCTAGCTGACGTGACGTGTAGTCTAGTTTGTACTCTAGTGTTAATTTTATGTACCCTATTATTTGTAAGATAATTATTTTTGTTTTCAATTACAAACATGACCATGGCATATATAAACAAACAGGGAACTGTAAGTATCCCTAATTCTCTCAAAACCTCTCTACAAGAACTTCTAGGCCTCATCATTAACATTGCTCTAATTGCTCTTTTCTGAGCCACAAAACTCTTTTCATTGATGATGAAGAAGAGCCCCAGAAAATAACACCATAATTAAGTTGAGCTTGACAGTAAGCACAATAAACCATTTTCAACACTTGCCTACTTACTATAGGCTGTAGATTTCTAAGCACAAAGGTTGCAACACTCAACTTATTTATCACTACATCAGAGTATTTTTCCCGGCCCAAATGATTGTCCAGGCACACACCTAAAAACTTAACATTTACAGAAAATTTAAATGTTTGGTCAATATAGTATTTATATGTAATGGATAGTCTGTGGCCTTAGGGGTCATAAATTTCATTACATGGTTTTTTTTTTAATTTAATGTTAATTGGTTAGCTTGGAACCATCTATATAAATGTCTCATAACTATATTTATTTTGTTATTAAGGCTACTAATATCCTGTGAAGAGACAATAAAAGTGGTGTCATCAGCATATAGAACCGTATGTGCCAACCCATTTAGAATTCTAGGCAGATCATTAATATATACATTGAACAACAAAGGTCCTGGTACAGATCCCTGTGGAACTCCATGTTTGCTACTTTTCCATTTAGAAACATATGTAGTTGAGTCTTGAGTCTGTAGTATGATTCTTTGTTTCCTGTTATATAGGTATGTTTCAAGCACTTTTAGTAGAGACCCTTTTATTCCATAGTGTTTCAATTTTTGGACAAGCAGGTCATGATTGACACAGTCAAATGCCTTAGTGAGGTCACAAAAAATCCCCACGACCATCTCCTTATTGTTCCATGCTTTATAAATATAATCAGTAAGCGTAAAAATAGCTTTTTGTGTCGACGCACCCTTTCTGAAACCAAACTGATTATCTACAATAACATTATTGTTTGTTAAATGCTGTATTACTCTGTTATATATTAATATCTCGAATATTTTGGAAAACCCTGTCAACAAGGAAATGGGCCGGTAGTTAGATATTTCTGTAATACTGCCTTTCTTAAAGCATGGTATTATGTTAGCATATTTTAACCAATCTGGATAAATTCCAGTCGTTATGGATAGATTAAAAATATGCATAAGTGGTTTAGTTATTTGATTACTACACAGTCTTATGAATTTGTTTGATATACCATCATATCTGCAGGAACCCTTATTCTTTAGTAATGAAATTACACCAGAAATATCTGACGATGTAATTGGAATATAAACTATTTCAGGAAATTTGTCAGTAAGACTATTGTTGATAACTGCTCATCCTCAGTTTTAGGATATTGACTAATTAATTTCTTCACTGAATCTATAAAATAGGTATTAAAAAACCCAGCTGCTTTATTAATTTCAATTTTATTTTCACAGTTTTTGAACTCTGCCGGAGCTGCTTTTCTTTTAGCTACACAACCAATTTCATTATTTATAATTTTCCAAGACATTTGGGATTTATTTGTGGATTTCGTTAACATTTCATTATAGTACATCTCTTTAGCTTTTCTGATTACTCTTCTTAATGTGGAACAGTAACGGGAGTAATATTCTCTTATTTTAAGGTGATGAGTTACTCTCCTTATTATGTAGAGGTATCTTTTACGTCTACATGACACTTTTATTCCACCAGTTATCCACTGATTTTTATGCCCCATATCCATCACAAATTGCATGGGGAAGCATGATTAAAAAATTACTATAAATGTGTTTAAGAATGCATTAAAACTTACATCTACCTCCATACTACTAAGGGTCATCTCCCATGTTTCATTTTGTAGTGCCTCCATAAACATCATGACTCCAGTCTTAGTTATTAACCTCTTTTTCAACAGGTTTATTCTTATTCCACTGAGTTCCAAACACATTATTTATCACCAGATATTGTGCATCATGATCTGATAGATCATTTTTTACAGAGTGCACATGGTAGGTATTTACTCTACTATAGTCCAAAAAAAGTATTATCAATGGCCGTGCAGGATTCTTTTACAATCCTAGTTGGGAAGTCCACAATATAAAACAAGTTATACGTTTGCATTAATGAACTTATTAGATGCACATTTCTCGAGTCACATAAACAATTTATATTAAAATCCCCACATAGTATAATTTCGAACTTTGGTTCGTATAAAAACTTTAAAATCACGTCAACTTGTCTTATAAATTCTTGTACAATACCACTGGATGATCGATAGATACCCACAAACATAATTACATTGCTATCCGTTTTCATATTTATTACACATAGTCTGTGCTTTCATGGACAGTTCATAGTTGTGAATGTTCAGTTAAAATGCTGTGTGTTTAGGTATACTAATAACAATTAGATTTGTACTGCAAAATGTGTGACACACTAAACATTAGTCCATGGAAAAGGGCACTGCAGTTTCATTGATCCATTTGTGAATTAGGGAAAATTAATGCAGACAAGTCATAACCCTTTCAGACCCTTAATATACAACTATGCAAATCATGTCATGGAAGAGGTAGGAAGAGAGAAGGAGAAGGTTATGCAGGATGAGGTGAAAAGAATAAGATGAAGGGACAGGGATAGAAGAGAGAGGAGGAAGAGGAGGAGTGGGAGCAAAAGTCATAATACTGTATATATTAAAAATGAGTTAATGAGAAATTGGGAGGAGATTAAAGAGGAAGTGGAGATAAAGATGGCAGAGAAAGTGTGAAAATGAAAAAGAAGGAACATGAGAAAATTAAGGGGCATGCAGTAGTGTAGTTGGTTGAGGCACTGTGCTACAAGCTGGAAGGTCGCAGGTTCGATTCCTGATGGGGTCATTGGATTTTTCAGTTGACCTAATCCTTCCAGCTGCACAATGGCCCTAGGGTCGACTGATCCTCTAACAGAAATGAATACCAGGAATCTTCCTGGGAGTAAAGGTCAACTGGCGCATAAGGCAGACAACTTCACCGCCATCTGTGAGCTGATTGTATAGAAAATGAGGGAGCCTTGGTGTCTCACAACCCTGTAGGCCTTCATGGCCTTTCACAGGGATAGCTTTACCTTCTTGTGAGAATATTAAGAAGATGCAAGAGCTTAGTTTAGTTTTTTGAGTTTCTTTGTGTTACGCAGATCTGGGTTCTCATCTTGTGGTACACAGAGATGGGAGAGGGAGATTTAGTCAAAAAGAAAAATTAAGAAGGGCAAGAAGCTTAAAATGATGTGCAGGAGAAGAGATTATGGAATAGGTGCGAGAGGAGAGGAAGATAAAGTAGAAAGAGAAAGAGAAGGTTATTAAATGGAAATGAACAGATACTCTTCTGAACATCAGCTCAGATGGCTTTATTCTGTGATTTATTCACATTTTTCTAAATACTTCACAACGGGTCAGATATTTACCTTTCAGATGCCATGCTTACAATTTGTGTGAGATCTTAAGAGATCAAGGTTTTGAGTTATGACAGAACAGGAAGAAAGTTTAAGCAGCTTTGTATATTATAGTATTACTATTTGTAAATTAAGTACTACATTCAGACAAGTTTTTGATGCCTTCCAGAAGAAAGTTGGTGGGGGGCTACCTTCGCAAAAGTAGATCATCAGAACTGGTTGAAATCAGATTACCTTTCTAGTATAGAAGGCATTATTCCTTTTTTGTAATTAAGGGTCCATGAATAAAATACATCATTCTTACTCTGAATGAAAGTATCCATCATAGAAGTGGGCCATTTCGTTCAAATTAATTGTATGTGCAAATGTAAAAACAATTTGCCAGTGATAGAAGTGGACATAAAAGTATGGTCCATGATTCAGTTACTGTGTTATGTTTCATCGGATCTTTTTAAGTAGATAACTACAAAGGGTTTGAGGTCAGAAAAAGTAGAAGCTTTCCGTTTGATTGACTGAATTATGTACGCTTTTATAATTTATGCTTTAAGTCATTATTATAATCGTAACTATTCCATGTGTCATTTACAATAATCAGTACAACTCATTAAGATGGTTCTCTTCTTCATAATTCCCCCCCCCGGCCATGTGTGAAATGTAAGATTTATTGAACTTGAGCTTGTTTGCTATATTTTGCAGGCCACACGGGTGACTTCGGTGAGATGCTGTCTCATATCCTTGAGAAACATCCAAATACCCTCATTGTGTGTATAGGGTTCAGTCTTGGAGGGAACCTTGTCACAAAATATATGGGTGAAATGGATCGGTGCAAAGCACCAAACATCATTGGTGGCATATCCATATGTCAAGGCTATTGTGCCATTGAGTGAGTATGGCAGTGATGTATCTTGGTTTGTACCTCTGGCCCACATTATGATGTTACAGTGTGTAGCAGTGCTGGAGACTCATAGGCATTATGGGATAAGATTCCACTCAGAATTGATATAACAGTTCGCAACTCTTTTCAAGTATCCATAACAGTATTAAGGGGCTGTAATATTTACATATTTTCCTATTTATAGTAAGGGTGTATATGGCAGTGTGGTACATAATGACATTGTGTGTGGAAATTAGGTTGGATGCTTAGAAGAAAGAAGAGGGAAATATTTTGCATATCCCTAAACATGAAGTGAGATGATGATGTTTTCTCTCCTCGTACCATGAATAATCATTATATCTTTATTTTATGATTTATTCTGACCGTCTTACAGTGCATACATTTATTCACCTTACTCTTCTCTCTTGCACTACATATTTTACAGCACTAAACTGCCATCTTCAGGTGCTTTTCTGTGTACGTCGAACTACTTCATTGCTTGCCCTGTTGTCTTTATACTAAAATAACTAAAATATAAATTTGTCATATATAATGATAAATTTTAAATATTAAAACTGTTCAGGATTTGTCATCCTTATGTCGTATCTCAGTACGCGAGTCACACCTATCTTGTTCTATCGGAGTATTCTTCCTATTTTCATGTGTGAATTGTGCTTTGTGTTGTGTAACACGCAGTCACATGAGCAAGACACAACAGAACCTTGTGTTAGTTTTGCTGATGTTTCTCCCACATCAGAAGTTTGCATAGCTACCAAGTTGATATTATTGACAGTGAAAAATTAGAAAGTGTTAAGTTAAGAGTTTCCACTATTTCAGTGATGGATGTGCTAATTTTTATGAAACTTTGTCAGATGGTTCAGACAGACATAAAGATGGACATGATAATGTCATGAGCCTCATAATCCTTATAGTGTGATGAAAATGGACTAGTAATAAAATTTCCACTAGTGCAGATCCAAACTAAATTAAATTGATCAGATATAACCTCAAATTTGTTCACTGTCACCATGCTTTGAATTTGAATTTGGACTTTAATTTATTTACCTCCATAAATTCAAATACAGGTTGATGCCATAGGATATGGAACAAGTCTGCAAATAACCAAAATGATGCAGTGACATACTTGGGAATACACTTTAGCATAGAATCGACACTAGTTACTCTTTGTAATCGTTGGCACTCAAAGACTAGTTTGTATTTAACTTATAGGCATGTTTGTGCCCTGCTTCTCTCCTACTTTGCTGAAGGTTTACGTGGTCTTTAACGGTTATTATAATGTTTTGTAGGGGTACAAAATGGTTGCTTAATTGGCAGAACTTCAGGAGATTTTACTTATATGTGATGACAGAAAGTATGAAATCAATCATTCTTAAACATCGCCATGTGTTGCTTCATGATGAGGTGAAGCAGCACTACAGCCTGAATGAGAGGGAAATTATAGCTGCAGCCACACTCCCTGAGCTTGATGATGCCTACACTAGGTAAGTTCATGATTGGAATGAAATTTTATTTTTATGTGACTTTAATACAACAGTGGAATTAATAGTTCGTCTATTCTGTGTAATATGTTCAACATGAAATATTAATATATTTAAATGTGCAGGAAAGTCCATAACTTCAAATCTGTGACTGAACTCTATCAGTGGAGCAGCTGTGTCAACTACTTACAAGACATCTGCATACCTATGATTTTTATCAATGCTCGTGATGACCCCATAGTTCCTGAAGCTTTGCTGCAACCAATCAGACAATTTGCCTGTGAGTTAATGAAACCAGTATACATGATCTTGGTTGGAATTACGGATTCCTGTCAGCTGTGATATTTTGACACATGAACAACATACAAATAGGGGATTTTAAATCTTTCAGCACTGCAGAGATGGATTTTATTTTATGGGTAACAGTTTCTTATCTAGAAATATGGGATCTTTTATCTTCTAGTACTGCAGGGTTGGCAGCCATTACCTCAGAGATAATGGCATTTCTACTGAAAAAATGTAGTGCTGGCCAGCTGGACAGTGGGCATATGCTGTTCCAATAATGACACACACACACAGAAGGTAACATTAATGCTGGAAGTCTCTCCCCCCCCCCTTCCTGCACTCTCCATCCCCTCCTCCCTCTCTTTGTAACTCCTGCACTGCCCAGTAATTTCTGTACTTCACAAGATCTGAAAGTTAGTTGCTGACTTTCAATTGTGACAGCCAGGTTCAATCCCATGACAGATCATGTGGGATTTATGGTGACAGATTTTCTCTGAGTACTTAGTTGCTCCTGCCAGTTCTCATTCCACCAACTGCTCCACATTCATTAATCATCCTGTCCTTGATGCTGTATAGTCTCTAACTGACAGCATCACTAAATAAGCAGCTTAAAGAAAAAGGATTTGAAAGCTTATGGCTAATTCATTTTACATACACATGAGATCTGATGGCTCCACGGAAATTGTAAAAGAAAATATTGAAATAAAGAACTGTGGAAAAGGAAATGTAAAAGAAAAAATATTGTTTGACCCTTCTGAGCATCATGATGGCTAGGAGAGCAGGTAACGTACCTTATTATCTCAGTGTGTAGACTTATTTCCATGTTGTATGCCATTATCATTATTTGTAAATGTATCGCTGCTATCATCCTCAGTAAAATAATTTTCTGAACAAATTTATGAATCTTTCTGGGTGGTAACATCTCACGTTTTAGTGTTTTTTGCTTAACTCTGTTGCTGCAATATTCCACTGAAATCAAACAAGCTTTTTACCATACAGTGGAACATTGGACTTTTGTCCACATCTAGGAATAAACATCTCCTTTCACTGTATCATTCAACTTCATTCATTGAGCTATCAAAATGGGTTTTATGCTGATTATCCCATTCCCTTATTTTTTTGCATTAACATTCGATTATTTTAGGAGAATGATGAGAAAATAATATGCAGTGTTAAGGTTAAAGTTGTATGACTGATACAGACAGCAGACACACAGCTAGGTGCGAATATGTTAATATAGGATTGCACTGAAATTCACCACAATTACATTAAAATGCATGAATGAATAGTACTATTTTCTGGAACATAGAAGGTTGTAGCCCAATGAAAGTCAACCATTGTTTTTGAGTAATGTATCACCTCCATCTTCAGCTCAAAGAATAAGCAAAGGAAGAAACTGGCATGTTTGCTTCAAGCTGGTTTCTTGCTTGGATTATTCTTTGACTCTGGAGATGGAGGTGGCATTTTCCTTAGAAACACTAGTCAACTCTCATTAGACTATGTGGCTTTATATCCCAAAAGATAGAATTCTTTCATCTCCTTGGAAACGCGTTTCTTTGCCCCAGGCAATGGCCCACTGTTATTGCGTTGTCCCTGTGGGAACTCTCCGTGTATTCGTTGTAACCGTGGAGACTCATTGTAGGCTGTTAACTTCCTAGTCACTGCTGTGAGAACCTCAGATGCAGCATTTTAGGTTCTCACAGTAGTTATGAGGAGTACTATCTTCTAGGATATAAAACCATGTAGTCCATTGAAAGTCAACCGACATTTTGGGGGAACATATATCCTCCATCACCTGGTTTCCACCTTCTTTCATGCTGATTTCTTGCTCGGCTTATTCTTTGACCCTGAAGATGGAGGCAATATGTTCCTCCAAAACATCAGTTGACTTTAAATGAACTACACGGCATTATATCCAAGAATATAGTACTATAAAAGGGAAATATTGTGAAAGAAAAAGAAAAATCAGCAATGACTAGTCCACACATGTGATTTTCCTATTTATTGTGACAGCAATCCACATGCTGCTGTAAGAGCTCAACAACTTGCATAGTGCCCTGATGTAGTTATTTTCCACATTTTCTGGACTTATATTATCATCAGGATCCACATATCTGCTGGTTCTTATTGCCTTTCATTGTACAAAAAGGTGATTGAGAGGGAACTTATCTGCATTCAGTAACGTTGAGGAATAAGAACCACTTCACACAGAAGGTATTAGGGTAGGCCATGAAATAGAATTAGCAAAAAAGAGAACAGTTAAGAGAATGCTCTGGGACTTCTAGATTATGATGTGCAGAAGCAGTTTATCTTTTACCGGGATCCTTCCATAAGAAAGGCCTGTTAGGCTAGCTACACACAGTTACCAAAGAATCTGAAATGTGCCTTTTGTGAGAAGCATCCAACAAAAATTTGTCTTTTAAAGATTATGATACAAGGCCATACTTATCACATAACCTGTACTAAAATTTTTCTCTGATTTAAATAGCACATGACCTTACCTCTGAATATAACATTATTAAAGAAGGTAAAAACCATTTCATTAATCCAATCTGAAAACTTGCTAGTATATAACTATTTACAACTTATTAACAAAACTTTTTGTCAGAAAACCAGAAGAGAAAGGGCCATTAAGGAAGACGTAAGCATAGACGAGAGGACAGTGAACCTTAGAGAAATGTGTTCTGAAGGTGTCAAATGGATTCATCTGGCTAAGGATAGGAAGCAGTGGAGGGGTCTTGTGAACAGAGTAATGGACCTTTGAGTTCCAGAAAAGCAGAACATTTCTTGACTAATTGAACAAGAATTAGCATGTTAAGAAGGGCTCTACTCTGTGAATGTAGTTACTTCATACTAAAGAATAATGGACATAAAATTAACAAGAAGTACTATGAATAGTATACAGTTTTAAATTTTTCTGTTACTTTCCAGCTGAACACAGCAATACTTTGTATCTGGAACTTGCACATGGAGGACATCTAGGTTTCTATGAAGGAGGCCTAGTTTATCCAAATCCAGTCACGTGGCTTGATCGGGCTTTGGTGGCTCTGGTTGGATCTCTAGCACTGGTAAATGCGGACACAACACTCAAAAACAGAGTAGAGACAACGCTGTAGCAAGGTTGGTTATAACATATATCTTGATTTAAATACTATGTCATTTTTGTAATATCTTTGGTGATTTGATTTCATATTTCACCTCTTGAGAATTAGTTTACTAAAACCAACATAACAGTATGGATCAGGAATGATGAAAGTATTACAAATCAAGGAGGCCCATGACAGTAGGCAACATTCTGTCAGCAGAATAGAAAGTTAAAGGAGGGTTCCTACCTGTTGATTTATCTTCACATCTGCAAGAGGTCACCTTAATGCCTTGCTGAATGTTTCCTCTGTGATGAAACTGCTTCCCTTGGAAATGCTTCTTCATCTTCACATAGTGATTAAAGTCAGGAAAGCTTATCTCCGGAGATTATGGCAGGAGTTCAAGAGTGTCAGATTGGTACTGTGCCAAATGGTTTCTGATATTCATGGTCACATGGGCACATGCATTGTCATGCAGTACAATCAGTTGTGTTTAAAAACATCATTATTATTATTATTATTATTATTATTATTATTATTATTTCTTCCTTATTCCATTACATCTGTAATAGGCAAAAGCCTTAGATACAGAATTGTGTCAATTTATTGTGCTAATACTCTTAAGCAATTGTCAAGAAGACTTATAAAATAAGACAATGTATGTTTACATCATAATACAATTTCTCTCTAGCATAATACATTAAAATTTAAGATAAAAGTTTCCATCAAAGGTAACAGAATATTTTGGTCATATAGCTTAAACATATATAACAACAAATCCAAGATATAAAAACATTACATTTATAAAAATACAAAATTACAATTTCATGATGACCACACATCACTCGTCCCCAGTCCAATAAAACATATAATCAGGCCTCACACAGACAGCCCAAGCTGTCAGGACAACACACAGGTGATGGGAAAACCACTGTCAAACCTACAACCTGCCACTCCACACATATTGGCAAGCCATATCATCCAAACAGTTTATTTTATCTTGTCAATGCTATCAAGCAATTGTTAAAAAGACCTATTGTATATGACAAGTTTGTCACATCACATACAACTACTTTCTAATACAATACACTAAAATTGTCATTTAAAATAAAATTTTAATATGAAAGCTTCCGTCAAAGTAACAGAATATTTTAGTCATATAGGTTTAACATATACAACAGATCCAACATATAAAAACATTCAATTATAAGTATGATTATCTCATATTCATGATGATTATTAATTTATTGTATTACTCAACATCTTATACTCTTATATATTTGTAAAAATCATTATCTCTTAAAATATTCATCAAGTGTATAAAAAGAATTTAAATAAAGAAATTCCTTTAAATTGTTTTTGAACTTATTTATATCGTTAGAAGTTACTTTAATTTTATTAGGTAGTGCATTGTAGATCCTTACGGCCATGTGAGTTACCCCATTACCATATTTCGCCAAATTTACCTGGCTCATATGTATGTCCATATTATGTCTAGTGTAACGTGTTTCGTTACTGAATACGCCGTAGAGATCGTTAATTTGTTTATTCAACAACCTACAAGTAACGGCTACAATTAATTATAACAATATTGCGGGGTTTCACAATTTATAACCCTAATCGCATTAATCTGTTTACACTGTTGTGGGGTTTCACGATTTATAACCCTATTCGCAAATCAGTTCAGTCTGTCTTCAGTAACGCAACACGTTACACTGGTGTCAGAAGTGGGATACGAACTTACACACATGACGAATAATTGAATTATTGTGCATCGAGTGGTTTACTGCTACAACATGGACATGGAAAAGGTGATGGAACGTCTGTTGTTCACCCAGGAGGAAATGGCGGCCAGACAGAAAGCCAATAGGGAGGAAGAGAGGAGGAAAGAGAAGGAAGAGATGGAGGAATGTAGGAGGAAAGAGAAGGAAGAGATGGAGGAAAGTAGGAAGAACGACAGAGAAGATTTCCTCGCCAAATTAGACGCCGATAGGAAAACTGACAAAGAGGAAATGCTGGCAAGAATGGACGCCAGCATGAAAACCCATCAAGAAGAGATGAGGGCAAACCAAGTAAGAGCAGATGCTGACCGTGTGCACATGCAAGAAATGTTCCGCACCCATCAAGAAAAGGCGGAAGCAAATAGAAAAAAAGACAGAGAAGATTTCCTGACAAAATTAGACGTCAACCAAAAACAAATCGACGTCATGCTGACAAAATTAGACGCCGACTTCAATGCCTGGCAGGAAGAGACGACAGCCTGCCAGGATGTAACAGAGAAAAATCCAAGAAGAAAAGCGGTTGTAGTTAACCGACAGTCGGTTCCTAACGAAGACAAGGAGACGGTGACCTGCCCAGTGGACATGAAACCTGCGGCACAAGAAGAAGAGGTCCCCATAGTGATACCGGTCGGAGCGACGATAGCCTGCCTAGTAATGGAGGCACGTCAAGAAGATGAAAAGCCGGCCTCAGTGCACAGGAAACCTGAAGCGGCAGAGTTACGAGAGGTACCCATAAAAGACGCCGAAGTAATGCCGGTCGGAGAACCGAAGAAGAAAAGGCGTAGGGACCAAAAGCGACGAATTATGAAGAACCTGACATGGGAAAATTGCAGACCCCAGAATAAATTGGCCGTTGTCAGCAGGAAGGTGTCCCACCATGCAAGAGTGTCATGGCGCAAGAGGAACATCGTCAGAAAATCTTGGATCCGAGGAGATCATGCGTCCCGGATAAAGTTGGCTGCCATCAGCAGGAAGATATCCCATCGCGCAACAGTGGCATGACGTTGGAGAAATGACTTCAAGAAGGAAACTCCCCAGGGAACCTTCGGATGCCGGAGAAAGGACTTGGCGCCACGGTCCTGTGCCAGCAAGTGGCAGGAAGTCCAGAAGGAACAACGATGTCAGCGAGTGCAAACAACACATCAAGAGCTGTTACGTCGACATAAGGAACCTCCGAAGAAAGAAATGATCAAGGATTGGACCTTGTGGAGGGGACGACCCCCTCCAAAACGAAAAAAGACAGGGCACAGAAGAGGAGCCGCTAAAATAGAAGAACCGGCCTCCCCAGAGAGAGTGAATGTACCATGGAAGGAAGCGATGGAAGAATGGGATACAACTGGATCTTCTGGCGAGCTGTATGGAAACCGCTCGAGACGAGTTGGTCTTAAGAAGGGAGCGGTTGTAACGGCCGGAGAACAGATGCTGCGAGAACAGCCTCCAAAGCAAAGGAACGGGGATGCACCGTTAGGCTATTCGGGATGAACAGCCTTAAGGAGGGAGCAGTGTGACATGTTGCGCAACGGAGGACCCCTACCTCCCCAGCGGCATATGGCGGTAACGTAGCGCTCTCGTTACTACTTGTCGCGCTATGCAGGACACTACTCCTCTCCCCCCCCCCCCGGCGGCGGTGCCGGGCCGGGGGNACGGGCAGTGTAGCAGCTACGTAAGAATACACACCTGATGATGGCCATATAGGGCCAAAACATGTAGTGTGGAAGAAGGGAAGAAGAAAGAACTACAATTAAATTGTTGCACTTAAGACGGAGTTTGTCTCATATATACTCTTTTGTATCTTAAAAACTCTTTCAGCTTGTGTTGAGTTACCCCAAAACATTACTCCATATGTCATAATAGAATGGAAGTATGCATAATAAATACTTTTTAATGTTTTTACAGACACCACTGGTTTTACATTTCTTATCATATAACAAGCTGTGTTTAATTTCTTTATTATCTCATCTATATGTCTATCCCAAGTTATATCATTTTTGATAGTCAGGCCAAGAAATTTAATGTAATTTGCGTTTAATAAAATCGTTCCTATGCCTCCCATTTCTCTATCTAAATTATGTTTTACAGTGAAGTTTATATAATATGTTTTCAATAAATTCAGTGACATTAAACTTCGTTTAAACCAATCCTCCAATATTCTGCATACTTCGTTTATTGTATTTTTAAGTTTTATTGGATTGTCTTGAGAGATTAAGAAACTGGCATCATCAGCAAATAGAATTGGAATACTCTTAGTTTCTAGAATCTTGGGCAAGTCATTTATATATTATAAACAACAGTGGTCCTAGTATCGACCCTTGCGGGACACCATTAGTTACTTTAACCCATTGTGAGTATACTTTATTACTGTTTGTCCCATTGGAAATAGCAGTTCTCTATTTTCTATCCAATAGATATGACTTATATAGGTCGTATTGTTTGTCTTTTATTCCATAATACCTCACTTTATCCAATAATATATCATGGCTAACACAATTGAAAGGCTTTTCTAAGTTACAGAAGATCCCAGAGACTTGCATTTTTTATCTAAAGAGTCTAGTATTCCAGAGATAAGTCTATAAATTGCATTTTCAGTCCCTTGCTTTTCTCTAAATCCAAATTGGTATTTATTTGATATACTATTATCATTCAAATGTTTTAACAATCTACTATGTATTACCTTTTCAAAAATCTTACTAATAGATGTCAATATGGATATAGGTCTGTAATTCGATTCTAGATTTTTATCACCTTTTTTGTATATTGGCATAATTGTAGCATATTTTAGTGTGTCTGGGAAAATACCCTCATGCATAGTTCTGTTACATAAGTAACTTATCGGTTCGCTAATAAAGGTTTTACAGGCTTTGAGTATATTATTCGAAATTTCATCATATCCATGGGTTTGACTAGATTTTAGGGACCATATAATCCTTTCTATTTCCCTACTCGTTTTTATAATTTTTATGCTAGGTAATGGATTCTCAAATACATCAGTCAAGTATGTCATATAATTGGTAGTTTTTGATTTAATAGTTTTACCATTTCCTTTTATGTATTTATGTATATTATCCGCTATACCACTAAAGTACCTATTAAATGTTTCAACAATATCATTCAAGTTAGTATTCTTTTTACCTTCAATGTCCAAGGTTTGAATAATGTCTCTATTTCCTTTCTTTAACACTTCACTATTTATTATTCTCCAAGTGGTTCTAGCTTTATTTTTTGAATATTTAATTTGATTATCATATGTCATTTTCTTAGCTAGATTTATCACTTTGTTTAATATTTTACAATAGTTCTTATAATAGGTGGCTATTATAGGGTTATTACTTTTTTTTGCTTCAAGATATATTATTCTTATACCAGTGCTAATCCATGGTTTCTGTTTGTATTTTTGTCTACTTGTTATTGGGAACGACTCATAAAAATGTCTTAACAAAATATGTAGAAAATGATTAAAGCTAGTATTAATGTCATTATTGTTATAAACTAGTTCCCATTTTTCATAACTTAGTTTCATTGTAAATTCTGCCAAATTATAAACATTTATATTTCT